ACAGAAAATCTTTAAATATACACAGTAGCATACCACATGCATTAAAGAATCTCTTCACAAAATTGCATACAGTGAAACTTTTTTTATCCCATTTATCATGAATTTTCCTGCTATCACAAATATATACAAAAATTAAACAATGGAAACAATATACTTTAATAGTAAAAACTCTAAATTCAAACATTCATATTTATACTACAGTCTATCTTAGCAAATACATATAACTTATCTTTTAAATGGCATAAACTATGCAGTGCTTGGAGTTACAATTACTATAAGAAAATTAAAACTGCATTTTACAATTGAGAAAATAAAAATACTTAATTCTTTTTAAATTTCTTTACTTTTCGTTCATTTGAAGCAGAAAACTTACTATCTGCTAATACTTTTCTATAATTTTTTAAACAAATGTTTGCAAATGTATTTAGCATTTTGATGACAATATTAAAGAAATCACAGTTGCAAGACAGACATATTTCATTACCAAGTAGCCCACTATTATTTATAAATATTTTAAAAAGTGAAATAATGACTGAATGCTGATTTTGGCATTTTTGAAAATGTGTTTCATATTTCTTTGATGTAAGTTTTCTAAATATGCAATAACTATGGATATTAAAAACTAGTATGGACTGTTTCGTAAGACAACCTCTACTTACCATATCCAAATATGTGCACTTATCTTTGGATTCTGTTGTTTGATATAATGGAAGATTACCATAATCCTTCCCTTCAATCAATAAATTATCCAAACTTAATACCTTTTCTTTGCAGATTATACACTGCAGTTTCAAAGAATGAACACAATAACCAGCTACAAGTATTAAGATGTGCGTATGTGTGTGTGTGTGTGTGTGTGATTATTGTAAAGCCTCGAGGGCTATCTGCCTAAGGGAAGGGATGCCTTTGTGGAGGTTTTCTAAGGGAAACTGGCTCGTATACACGCTACACATGGGGAAAACCACGAAAACGCCCATGCAGCCAGCCCGTTCGCGGGATTCGAACCTCGGAGCGAACTACCAGTGTTCAACGACTTTACCGCTCGGCCGCTGGTGGGTCCACTACATGTATTAAAGCTTGCTGTTCATTCATTGATACATTTAACTCCACATCACAGCCATTAAATATGCATGGATATATATCGTCTTTTAACATTGGATGTTTTCTTCGAATTCTTAAAATCGCCCATTTTTATCCGTGAATACATCTTCACGCACAATCATATCTTCGCGAAAATGTTTTTCACAGACAACACTTCGTTTAGATGGTATGAAATTCACTCGAGGAATCTTACGGAACCAAAGCTGCTTTTTGTGCTTCATCCGTTGGAAATTTGTACACACTCACGTAATTTTCAGTTCCAGCATAATTAGAATTGCACTTAATAATCAGGCACACAACAATAGTCAGGCATTGCTACATCATTAACAAAGTCAGCACTAAACAACAAACTATATTGACAAATTTAGAGCTTTACGAGAACGAACACACGCCTCGTGGTAGTTACAAAACTAATGGTGGAAAAACGATGGACGGAAAGCATGACTCATATCTGACTTGTTCGAGGAGTGTCATGGCCTTCTTCCTCTCGAAGGTCACGACTAAACCGGTAAGAATTCCTTCCAGAAGGTTCTCCATCCGTCCATGGCATATCGCCAATTTTGTCACCAAATATCGCCAAATGGGCGATTTCTCGCCAAATGTCTGCTTTCCCTTGCCATTTTATAGCAACCCTAAACTGCTTTGCGAGGAAGCTATCTTACCGCGCCTGTACATTTCGTAACAAGAGTATTCAGTTAGATGTGGCTATTATAATTAGCGCTAGTTATGAAGTTTATGTTTGTGATAATTATCCAGATAGTTTATTTATCATTTAAACAGTATAATTATTCTATAAATACTTTCTCTAATTCTGCGAGATAATTTATTAAAATTCTTGTTTTTAAAACGATGTCAATTTTTAGAACAGAAATATAGCATGAAAGAGAATCTTATTTTCGAGTAAATACAGAGGCTTTTCGCACATTTTTTAGACGATTTTCATTGTAATTACAGAAATACTTTACCTAACATTTTTATGTTTTAAATGTTCTGTTTGATAACCCTCATTATTCACTATCTTTATACACTGGAATTTTCAAGACAATAAATTCTTTTGTGGTATCGGAAGAGGTATTTTGTCCCATTACTCTCGAACAGCTTTCCAAAGTCTGAGGAGATTCTAGATCGACGTTTGGACAACCCGCTTTTTTAAGTGTTTTTTTTTTTTTCGCAAATGGCAGATTGTGAACAGTTACAGTGTAACCCAGTCCATTAATCTGTACAAGGCCAGATGCGGTGGTCTCTTTATTATGAAGACACCTAATAGGTGGGCCACCATCGCCTCCTATGAAGGGACGAACAGTTACAACCATGCCTTCTCCGGGATTTGAACCAAGGTCCTTCGGTATCGCAATCAGGCTTCCCTAACCACTAAACTGCCTGGGCGTCCCAAAGATAAAAAATATATTGGTGATAGATCAGAAGATTTAGGGATATGAGTGAAGGGTATGGCCTTGATACCCCTTTTTTTGTTCCATTTTTTTCCAGGAAATTAACCGTAGATTTTGAGGTGTCACTGCTTGCTTTGTCTTGATATAGTTCTACTGATTGATCACACTGTGTGTAAAGAGAAGGTATTTCGTATTTCAAAATTGGGTACAAAATATGTTTTTGATAATACGTGAAGTTGATCTTAGCATTCTTCTCCACACTCTTTATTGTTAATTTGTCGTTATATGAAAAAGCAGCAACAATCATAAATCCTTTAGTTTCCTTGAACCATGTTTTAAGATCTCTTTGTTTTTGCATTCATTTACGTATTTGTGTATTGTACAACATTTTTCCATTTTTATCCGGATATATGTTTCTCAAAAAGAATTATGCAAAAAGTTCTGCATTCGGAGATAGTATGTCGTGGAGTAAGACGATGCTCATTGTTTCGCCTTTTTAAGATCCAAATCAGCCTTAATCGCTTTGTTTACAGTTGACACAACTTTCTTTTAACATTTAAGATCTTACTTTTGCAAAATTTGAAATATTCCGTTTTATTCCTTGTATACACATTTGCAGCAATTTTTCCCCTTGAAGCTAAATTTTAACGTTTTTCTTCTTTGTTATTGACAACATTACCTATCGTAGCTTTAGACATAAAAAAACATGGCTTTTACAAAGTTTTTTTAATTACTAGATACGAATAATTTTCTTCGGAAAGAACGCAAACATAGCCTTCCATCCCCTGCTTCTTTAAAAGTGAAACTTTGCATGAAAACAAAGCTGTCAAGTAAATTATAATTTATATATTCAAAAATATATTTGCAGTTAAAAAAGTTCCAAGCAGAAAAATCCTTTTTACGGGAAAGTAAACTCGTCTAAGCAATGTTCGAACAGCTTCTGTATGGTAAACATTATTATCAAAAGTAAGCTTCAAAATATGAAACTTACACAGTTTATTCTTTATCACTCTTTTTTTCCACTGAAACTATTTGAGAAGTTATATTTATTTTCTTTAATACAAGCAAATGTTCGAATGGTTAGTTTGTTACCGATTGAACGTTTGATCATGGTATACATGAGATTTATATATTGCTGATATATTAAATGTGTTTTGAAGTCTAATTTAACTTAAACTAAATAATTTTAATGCACTGGAGGGGGACATTTTGTTCCGTCGTAGCTGTAACATAATTGATTGCAAAAGGAAGTAAAACAACTTACAAATTTATTGTAACTTCAGTTTGAAATTTACGAATAAAGAGAACGTATGATGCTTGCTTTTTTTCAATACAATATTTACAAATCAACATTTCCAAATTTAATATTTATGCCTGAGTATTTACAGATTAAACTATTAGACCCTAAGACCTTGGCTCCTATTGCTAACGTGCCGTTTCACATAATTTCAAATACAAAATTACTGTAGTGATAACTGGAACTTTGAGTTCCTAGTCGAGTATGCCAATGCTTTCTCTCTAAACACATATTGTCGCTCATAGTTTAAATTCATTTCCTTTACGTTTGTGGGGGACAGAGGAAAAGGAGAATTACAAGAAACGTTTGTAGAGCTATTAGGTTATTTGGAAGCAAGAGACTTGAAGAATGAGCAACGCCGTTGCCGGGAATCGAGCCATGGACCTCTGGAATATGCGCCCTGTGTGCTGACCATTACACTGCAAAGGCATGCTAAGAAGGCGGGAGAAATATCTTATATACTCCCCCTTTTAAAGGGCAACTGGGGTTTGGGGACCCAATCGCCAAATCCTGGGTGTGGAGAATCATCATCCACTACCCTTTTAGTTTAGGCGCCATTATAGAGCTATTAGGTTATTTGGAAGCAAGAGACTTGAAAAATGAGCAACGCCTTCGCTGGGAATCGAACCACGGATCTATGGAATACGCGACCAGTGTGCTGTCCACTACACTACGAAGGCATGCTAAGAAATACCTTATAGGTTCGTCATGAGAAATAGCATGTTTATTAAAATATACTTTATGAATAGATAGATTTGTTTTAGCTTAAAAATAATGGTCGAGCAATAAATTATGTATATTCAATAGCAAAATATTTCAATATGCTCAGCTGCTTTTAAAAAATGAATCGGTATTCAGAAGGTGACATTGTCTTATATCCAGTGTACTATACACAGGCTATGTAAAAATGTATTACGCAAATAAATATGTTTATAATGCTTAATTCTAGATTTAAAATAAACCAGGTAAGGTAAACTCAATATTCGAAGAATCAAATTACTAATAAATAAACCTCTGAACTTTAAGTATAGCTTTGCATTATGTTTAATACAAAAATTCACAAAAACAAAAAATTTCTTGTTACATGTTTGTTAAATGTAGCGTATTATTTTATCAAAAAGCAGATTTATTAGTTATTGGATCAGCATTACTTAAAATTGTATCTGAATATTATCAAAGTTTTATTAAAGTCTTTATTTCTTACATTTCAGGTTGCGAAATCTACGCTTCTCTTTGTGGACTGTTTGGTCTGGTATCAATTGCAACTCTTACTGCCATCGCTATTGAGAGATGCTTAGTTATTTCTGTCAAGCCATGGTACGGAGGAATTCTTTTCACAAATGCCAAAGCGAAAGTTGCCATTATTTTCATATGGATTTACTGTCTAGCAATAATGCTTCCTCCTCTCTTTGGCTGGGGTGCTCTTGTCCCTGAAGGCTTTCTTACCAGTTGTTCTTTTGACTATCTTTCAAGGACATCTTTGAACAGATCTTACTTTATTTATATATTTATTTTTGGATTCTTTTTACCAATTACTATTATTACCATATGTTATGCTTTCATTATACGAACTATATACCTAAACGAGAAGGATATGAAGAAAAACAATGTTAAGAAAATATACACGAAGCCGAAAAAGAGAAACGATTACAAAGCTGCAGAAATGATAATGTTTGTTATTGCTATGTTTTTATTATCTTGGACTCCTTATTCTCTTGTTGCCATCATAGGGCAGTTTGGTAATACCAGAATCTTAACACCATGGGTATCGGTTTTGCCAAGTTTGTTTGCAAAGATGTCTACCATTTACAATCCTGCTATTTATGGTCTTTCCCATCGTCATTTTAGAGCCACATTAAGAAGAATCTTTAAAAAGAAATTGCAAAGAAGTTCCATTGAGAGAGGAGGAACGTATCTGAGTAAAAATTCTTCAGTTATTCGTACAAGGAATGGCTGTCCTTGCTTACCAAATTATGATGCTTCGGAGGTTATAGAAGATAGCAGTTCTTCTTTTACAGGAAAAAAGGTTTATGTCGGGGTAACTGTTGCGAACGAATACGAAAATTGTAAGATTATCTATATCAAGCGAGAACAAGATGTAGCTGATGATTTACAATTTAGCTGTGAATGTGACACGTGTAATATGAGAAACAGAAGGTTTCAGAATAGCTTAAAATCGTTGAGAAGCCATGATTGCTGCTCGATAGTCGATGACTCGCCTCCAAGACGTTCAGACGGACCTACGACAGTTGCTGTACCAGAAAGTGCCAAACCAACGATGGTAATGCCAGAGATAATAGCTCCCGAAAATAAGTCTCTTCTTAGATCTTTGATGTTCAGGAGCGAAAGCTCGTTGCATCAGAAGTATCAGACATACATGGAAGATGATCATATTGTAAAGATTCCCACTGTAGTCTATTTCTATAATAATCCGTTTTCTAAAAGTTCAAAATGTGAAACTGTATCAGCATCTCGAGCTCAGCTGTCTACGCATGTGCCAAACGCTTGTGTAGATCTTTTGCCTGCAACGGAAATTTCTACCAAAGTGTCTTCGAAGCGTTTATTGGATGTACGGAATCAAAAGTTGCTCCTTCAAAAATGCGAGAATTGCCACACTCATTTGTGTACCAATTCTATACTTATTGATAAGTTTTCACACTGAAGACTGTAACAATTTCAAACTTGTGAGAGCAATGTGCTTGTAAAACGAGCTTTTTAAAACATAATACGATTATATACATACTACTGAACATGAGATATGAGTGTAGAGGTATGCTATATGGTTTTGATTACGGCACAGGACATTTTTCACATTTGCGTCACATTCAGAATTTTGCATGCAGTTTCTGCCTCATAATTGCTTTAAAAAATTCTGTGATAATTCCTGTAATTGTATTGTACATGTAATTGACACAAAAGGAATTTGAATGTAACTGTTTGTTTTGTTCTATTATATGCTTTTGTAAATATGTTAAACACTTTTAAAAAAATTGCATTGTTCTAAATTAATATCTTAAAATCAACATATTTATGCATATATTATATTATATAAATAATCAGTTATTTCTGTATTTATAATAGCATCTCAAATCCCATTATACTCTACTTTCAAGAAAAATCTATTCTGTGTACACGAGGAATAAGTCATTAGACGTTTCATGAACTTAAGAAAAGTGGATAAGTTGTCTTGTTGAATTTTGCTTTAAAATTCGTGCTATTAATTCATGTATCTTTTGGCAACAAAAATCTTAGTCATTAATTCATAGACAGATAGCAATGCATTGTCATCCTGTCTTTCGAATAACATTTAACGAAAGCATGCTTGCAGGAATGCAGTAGAATTGCTTCAATTCACAAAAGTTTGTATTGCTATCAAGCGTTAAATTTTTCTTCCGCTTTAGGAAATCGCTTTCTGCAAACGCGCTTATTCGTCTATACTTTTACTAGCAGCTTGATCTACAGATGATATCTCGCAATGGAGAACATCTTTTAATTGTGCTACGGCTGACAGACTGATGGACTACAACACAGATTCATCAAATTGCCCACAACTAAATGGCCTTGGACCTTAAGTCTGGTGATAAATGAAGCCCTAGTGTATGAGTCAATTCCTCTAAAATAAATGTCTTTATAGGAAATGATTATGAATAATTTCTAATATAAGGTATGATCATTTTGCATCAACTTGACAGTCTCTATGAGATTTTATTGTTTCCAGCACGACACCATGTTCACGCGTAAGATTTTTAGGTACGGCTATGCTGTTACGGCGCGCGCTTTCTAGCCATATATTGGTTCTTTAAGAAAAGAAAGAATGGTCAGTAATGACGGATATTATGAACCTGTAGCAGCACATTGACTTGCGATGCTAATAGCCTCTGTGCGTAAATTCGGGTGATTTCCTTTTCCCATATTCAGTAGTTAGTCCGAGCAATGGAAAATTTGCTTCACCTGCCTAAAAGATGTGTAAATCAAATAATTGCAACATTTTCGATGCTCATGTCACGAACCTCTCACTTATAGATATTACTTGGTTGCACAAAATGCATGGATTGCTGTTGGTACGAATACAAGTACAATATACGATATCAGATTTGCAGTGCTGATGAATTCGCAGGAAAATTCGTAGTTCCAGCATCTAATTTCCCGAGCACTGTAAATATAGATCGTTAATTGTGCTGCTAGAGTTTCCATAAGTTCCCCGAAAGGTTTGCAAAGAATATTGCTAAAGACTATCTGGTATTAAGACCCTCATTTGGCTATTTTTTTTTTTTTTATCTGTTGTAAGGCAAATACAAAGTACTTGAGAGTGGGAAACACTGTACAGCCTTACACCGTATTTTAACAAAGTTTTCAGTCTTAAATGTCATGCAAATGGTAAAATTAAAGTATAATACAATTCTATCGGCTAAATCAAGAAACAATCCTTTTTGTTGCTAAAAGCAATGAAAAATGGTCTGAATTTATAACATGAATTTTGTTGCAAATCGCTTCCTCATGTGACTATTTATCAATCTTTTATAATTCTTTAAGAGTTTAATGACTTTGGGTGTATATATTGCATTTAAATATATCTTACGGCCAAAGCCCAAAATCGACCACTTTTCGAATTCGCTGTCCATTTCGCGTAATGGCCAACATCTTTGCAAACTGACCACCAGATGTCCGATCATTTTTTAATTAGGGCTTCAGTTCGTAAAATGGCATGTATTGATCAGCCAAAATCGGGAGAAGAAAAGGTATAATATTAAATAACGGATATTTTATTTCATGAATTTATTATTAAGATTATATAAATTTGGTAAGTTTGAGCTAAATGGTATTGTACAAATATCGGGTTGGAGGGAAAGTTCTGTCGTATTTTAAATAGGCAGGTGATTTTTCTTGTAAATAAAAAAAACATCTGGCTAGTGAGTCAATCGGATTTTTTTTTTTTTTTTTTTTTGTTTTGTTTTTTTAGCTGCTGTATAATATAAAAGGTGCCCTTTTTTACTGTTCATCATTTACTTGTAATATTTAAAGGGAAAAACATGTCGGTAGATAAAGTGCATTTACGACACTGCATTTTATATGAATTCCAAAAAGGAAGCAACGCATCTGTTGCATGTAAAAATTTATGTGCGGTATTTGGAAAAGATATTGTAAATGTTCGTACTTGTCAAAGATGGTTTAGCAAATTTCGTTCCGGGGACCTGAGCCTCAAAGAAAGTGTTCGATCTGGACGACCATCCAAGAACGATAATGATGTTTTGCGATCCATGTTGGAAAATAATCCACATTTAACAAGTCGAGAAATTGCAGAAGAGTTTGGCATTCATCATACAACTGTTGGAGATCACATTAAATCTCTTGGGTTTGTGTTAAAGCAACGTGTTTGGGTTCCACATGAATTAACGGAAAAGAATTTGTCTGATCGTGTAAGAATATGTTCATCACATCTGATTAGACACAATGTGGAGCCGTTTTTGGACAGGCTGGTTACTGGAGATGAAAAGTGGATTCTTTACGAGAATATTAAAAGAAAAAAATCTTACTGCAAACCAGGAACATCATCAGCAACAAGTATCCATCAACGAAAAGTACTGTTTTGTTTGTGGGGGGACAGGAAAGGTCCAGTGTATTACGAGTTGCTGAAACAGGGAAAAAACATCAACGCGGATCTGTACTGCAATCAGCTGGATAAATTGAATGCAGCTATCAAAGAAAAAAGGCCAGCATTAGCGTCCAGAAAAGGAATAGTGTTCCATCACGATAATGCTCGCCCGCATACTGCATTGGTGACACTACAAAAACTGAATGCGTCAGGATGGGAAATCCTTAGTCACCCCCCGTATTCACCTGACATTGCACCCTCTGATTATTACCTGTTCAGATCTCTACAAAATTATCTAACGGGAAAAAAATTCAAGTCTTTTGAAAGTGTTTCTAAGGCAGTTGCTGACTATTTTAACTCCATGGATGAGAACTTCTACAAAACAGGAATTTACAGGTTACCTGGAAGATGGCAACAGGTTGTAACAAATAACGGAGCATATATAATTGATTAATATTAAACACATATTTTTATAAATGAATTCAAATATTTTCTTTAAAATACGACAGAACTTTCCCTCCAACCCAATATATTATACAAATGCAAGAAATATATGTGCTCACAAAGAAATAGATGTATCAGGTAAAAAGAATAAGCTAAAAGAAGATGACCTGTTCCAAAATGCAGCAAGCGAATAGACTATTATCATTACTCTACGGCACTTTTTTTTCGGGGGGGGATGCTATTCGTGAACCACCGTCAAACCAAAAGCGATAGATATGTCGTCTACCGGTCTGTCTTGAATCAGTCAGCCAGTTCTTGAAACTGAAATTGAAGGTTTAAAAATAAACTAATTATTTCTAATAACTGGACTTCAACTACACCTTTCTGCCAATATACGAAATGCGAAACTGAACTTAGGGCTTTGGCCACAGTATTTATATAAATATATATGGATAGTAACAAAATTTTTATACATTCTATTTTGTTAAGAAGTTTTTAACCTTTGTTCTTTCTATGAATATTTATAATACTTAATTTCAAAAATCCATTTCTTTACATTAATGTTTTCCCAATTTTCAAGTAGATCTTTCGGTAAATTTTTTAAACTGCCATTTTGTATAGCTACCATTTGACTACCATTTGAAACAACTACCATAGTCGTTTCATTATTGCTCATTATACGAAATGTTTTGTATTGCAATGCACAATTTTACGCAAGTATTGTTTCGAAATGATTGTATCTTAAGTCGTTGATGCATTTGTAATTAGAATGGTTAAAAATTATCAGCTAATGGCTACGATAAGTACTTCGTTACATGTTATTGGTTAATTTTCAAGGTGTTTGCAAATAACGGAAACACGTTTTGAAATAATCTTGGAGCATAAATTTCAAGTAGCATCTATTAAGTCTGAATTATATAAAGGGAAAGAAATTTTAAATCATTTTGATGCATTTTTATGCATGAAAGCGCATAATAAATGATGCAAATAATCATTAATTTTTCGACTGATTTTTCTTTCAAAATTATCATAATGGAGATATTTTGTTTTTAACCTACTCTCTTTTATTATTAGTTACTTTAGGTTACGTTTTTAATAATATGATTAAAATGAACGATGCACACATATGACTTGAGGAAAAATAGTTTTTATATTTTATGTATTATGTTCTTTCCTCTGTTACTGAAATTATTGCATATAAAGGGAGTGATTTAGGTGAAGAGATGACATGAGAAAATTTTTTTCTGCTTTGAAATAGTACTGAAATATTTTTATTATTTCGATTTTCATAAACTGTAAAATTGTTACTTTTTTCTTGGTTACAACATAAAAGGTAAACTTAGTATCATTTTAAGAATTACTTATCTTTCCACAGTATTTCTTGCGATAAAAAATGCTTCTTTTCAAGGAAAAATTTGTAGAGTTCGTATATGTCTACTTAATTAGTTTAATTTATCACTCTTTTGACTCACTTATTAATGATATTATTTTTAATTTATCTAAATTACTGCACTTTCATCCTTGTTAACATCTAAATTACTACACTTTCATCCTTGTTATCATCTAAATTATTATGCTTTCTTTGTTGTGAGTAAATAATAATATTTCCAAGGCAGCTTCTCTCT